GCTCTAGTCCCCGGGACACTGACGTCCCACGCCCCAGCCGTGCCTCCAAACGCACCCGGGGGCAGCGGGAGGAAAGGAACAAGCTGAACCAAACAGCCAAGGGACAGGCACAAACGACAGAATCGTAGAATTGGCTGCCTCCCCTTCCTGAAACAAGGGAAAAGGGAAGTTCATGCTTGGGACTCAGAGGTGCACTGACCTTTGTGTGGCCAAAGCTCTGGGAAGGTGGAAAAGGCAAAGGCTGCTTCCTCTCAGGGCTCCTGTTCCCCTCGAGCCCTGTCAGCCATCAGCATTGGGTGTCTGGGCACTGATTGTGCCTCCCTCTCCATTAAGGAGGTGGTGAGCCTGTGCTGGCCGAGGGGCTACTCAGGCATGAGATATTTATTCCTTGGAGCCCTGCTGGGCTGTGGGTCCAATCCCCCAGGCAAGCCTGGTGAGGTAGGCCCAGTAGGAGAGGCAGTTTAGGCAGAGCTCAGGCTGGGACAGAACACAGGACACTGCTGCCAACTCAGGCAGGTGTCCCCTTTTCCCTGGATTGCTGCTTCCATGGGACTGGTGCTGTGCTGCCAGCTGCCCTCCATCTCCAGGGAAGGGCTGGCAGGGATCTCTGCTCCCTGCTGCCAGAGCAAGCTGAGAAAGCAAAGCCAAACTGTTCTAGGTCCGAGCAAGCCCTTCTCACCCCACAGCATTTAAAACAAGAAACAGAGCAAGAAGAATCAGTGTGAAGTACCAAAAAACCTTTATTTTTCCCCCAAACCATAACAACATTTGACATTATACTGATTTCCTCATATATTTGTTATTTCTCTACATTAGGAACCAGATACAGAAAATACAAACACGATCTGTTGAATCAAAGATGGCACAGCATTCCGTTAGAAAAAGAAACAAAAAAACTAGAGGAGCAAGATAGAAATGGTGAAAAATAGTCATTCCCTCCAGCCCAAACTTTCCAAGAATCATCATCAAAATAGAGCAGTGGAAGTAGCTTCTCTTTCTAAACACACTTCTGCTTTAAGACAAAAGTTAGATTTATCTTTAGATTTTGAAAGTAAAAAAAACGTTAAACTATCTTTGAAGCAATTTTGGAAGTTTGCATAGACCCATTCCCTTTCCAAAAATATCAGCCATCTCTCTATAGAATCTGATACAAATCGAGTGCGCCTCAGCCAAAGGTCACCAAGCTCAATTCACTTTCAAGAAAATAAAACATGATCTCCCCTTCCCCTCCCTCCCCCCACAAAAATATGGGCTCTACTGTTATTCCACGTGTTTGAGGCAAGTTACCAGGCTCAGCCACATCCCTTGCTCAGAGCTTCACCCCAATTCCTTTTCCTTTCCCGTTCATTTCCCGGGGTTTCCATGCTCGCTGCCTCCCGGCAGGGCAGCGGGATGGGAGGGCGCAGGGAGGGCGCTGATGGACACAGCTCTCAGGAGGGAATTTTGCTTCCATCAATCCCTCCCCGCAGCGAGGAAGTGGCTTTTCAAGGACAAACACCTGCGACCAGGCAGAGTTTGTAGGAACTTGTCCCTGGGGACCGGCCTTGTCCAAAGGGCTCGGTCACCAGAGCAAGAACTCGGCTAGAGACCAGGTGGGGCAGCAGGGAGGGGCAGGGGGGTGGAGGGGGTCTGCAGCCCCCGGGTAAGGCAGCGAGGAGGGGAGGGGGAGCCCCTCACCAGGAGGGGTTTAACTGTGGTGCTCTAGCGTACCTGGAGTGAGGTTTTCCCAGAGGTTCCCAGCAGCAGTGCAGAGACCAGCTGCACTGCCACCTGCTTAAAAAGAAACAGCAACGACAAAATAAATAAAAAGTCAACCCCTCCTATTTAGATGAGAATGAAATACTATTTCTTCGGGCCTCCACCTGGTTTGGAACCCTCTAAAAACTGAAGCAAACGTTTAAAAGGGCTTGTTAACCTTTCTGCAGGGGGCAAAGTGATGTGGCAACAAGGGGGGGAGAAATCACACGCCTGCTGCCCATCACTCCAAGGGTCAGAACAGCACGAGGCCCCCATTTAAAGTGCTGACCATACAAAAGATGATGATGAGGGAGCAACATCCTTCTCCTCCCTTTTCCCATCACAATTTCCAACTGAAATCCACCTCCTTCACCAAGTAACAACTAAGCCTATTCTTCTGGACACTCAGTTTTATATTGGTTTTAAAAAAAGAAAAGAAGTTAGTAAAAAAGTTACACTGAATTTCCTAACGCTTTGCAATGTGCTTCCACCAACTAAAGGTTGAGAAACCAGAAGCAGAGCCCACATGTTTTGCCTGATCCTGAGATTGAAGCAGAGAGCCAGCTCTGCTCTCCAGGGCCAGCCAGGCGTGAGCAGCCCTGCTCGTCAGCATCAGAGACCCAGGGGATGCAGAGTCTTGCCAATAAGGTCCTTTTGCTTGTTTAAGCCACCTCTGAATCCCCTGAGGAGGGGAACAATGTGGGGAAGAACATTCCCCTCTAAGCCCCCCTGAAATAAAATATCAATGAAACAATTAATGCAGTCAAAAAAAACACCAGCCTGCTGGATTTGTATTAAAAAAAAATTCCATAAACTTCACAACAAAAAAGAAAAACCCAAAGGAAACTAGCCAGCGGTTTGGGTCTGGAGACTGATTCACTTCTTAAATGTTCTAAGTCCAACAAGGAACAGGCAGCAATGATGCCACAAGGAAAAAAGTGCTCGTGAGATGCAGCTTCCTGAGGCAGCAGGGAGTGTGTAGGACCAGTGACCCCACAGCCACCACCTCAGGTGCCCATGGCTGCCTGGGGACTGCTGGGCACTGCTTGTGCTGGATGCACAGCAGGAGCTCTGCATGGGATCTACAAATAGGAACAGACTGCTCCTTCCTCCCTCCACGTCTGCTCCAGGTCCCCCAGCTGTGCTGCACAAGGCTGGATGACTAGGACTACTTACTCACTCAAAACCAGGGGCAGGAGAGCTAAAAAGCCACACAAAGACCAGAATCTGTGGAGGGACTAACGTGGAGACAAGGAAGAAATACCCTATGAGACACAGTTATCAGAAATGCAAGCAGTGATGTGCCAAGCCACTGGAAGAGAAGCCAAAGACGTGCCCAGGTTGGCCACAGTGATGTGTTGGAGCAGGTTGTGCCTCTGCCAGCCTGGGAAGAAGAGACCAGTGCTCTCAAAAGCTCAACTGCTTCTCCTCTTGCTTTGCTGGGAAGATATTCCTCCCTCTGTCCCACTGATTTCGTGACGTGCCGAGCTGCCAGTGCCTTGGAGCAGCCAACTCTTGCTAATGGAGGCCAGAAGAAGGCCCTGGGATCCCAACTGCTCTGACAGTGACTGCCATTGTTTCTCATGGGAACAGAGGCAAAGCAGCAAAATGAGCTGGGTTACAGCCTCTTTCCTGGCTTATGCTTGCTCCTTTCAAGTCTTGGTTGGATCTGATTTCCCGAGGGCCTTTGTTGGCCCCTGGGGAGCAGCCAGAGCCTTGGCTCTGCACGGCCATCCACAGAGAGGGCAGAGCAGCCACTGCTGTCCGAGCCTCCTCTGCCCTCGCCCTGACCTGAGCAGACGGTCAGGCCAGGCCTGGCTGCCTGGCACTGCCCCAGGGAGAGAGAAAGACAAGCAGTTCTCTCCTTCCTGCAGACACGTGGCACCCCAGGAACAGGGCAGGATGCTCAGCAGCCTGCAAGTGAGTGCCAAATCTACCCAGGCTGAATGAAGAAGAGATCACCATTAAAAAAAACCTAGCAAGTGTGAAAGAGCTTTTGTTCTTGACAGTCTCAAAAAATCCAACACTTTTTTCCTACATTAAACCAAACCAAGGTGTTGTCTGCATCCCCTTTTTACCCTAATTCAAATTTAATTCCCTTTGAAGGGAAAGGGTGGAAAAGATGCATATCCTATATGTGGTCTGTCCAAATACAGAAAGAAGCCTCTTGACTCAAAGAGAGAAACCATCAAAACATAGTAAGCAACTGTATAGTTTTACCACACTGCTGAGCACCCTCCCCATGCAGCATCCTTAGCTAGAAGGGTAATAAAAAAAAAAAAAAAAAGCTGAATCAAGGCCCTTTCATTCCTTGTTTCTCATTCTGCCAGATTCCCTTTTCCAGTAGCTCATCTGCATGCATTCTGGCCAAAGAGACCACAGTTAATGCTTTTTTTTTTCCCCTCCTTTAAAAGAGGCTTTACAATAACTAAGAATTTGAACAATGTGATCAGTTACAAGTCACTCCTTGCTGAACAGAACGAGTGTGTGCCTGTACACACACACACAAGTGCCAGAGGGGAGCCAGGTCCTGAGTGTGGAACTGCTCCGAGGGCACGGCTGCCGAGTGCTACCACAGAACACTGGCAAAAGAGGAATGGGCACTACACAGAAATAGCTTATCAGCTCAGGGGCTCTGTACAGGGAGGGCTGCAAGCACAGCCTGCTGCTGGCCCACAGCTGGGGGCTGCCCAGATCCTCGCTGGCAGGAGAAATCTCCAAGTGGGAGCTGAAAGGGATCGACATCGCTGCCACACACTGCAAGGAAAAGTGTCAAACAACTGCAGAAACCAAACCCAAAGAAGAGCAATTGAAAGATCAAACACAGAACAGTTTGAAGCCTTGTCAGAAGAGTTCACTCACCACAGAGCAGGTCAGAACAGCTGCTGTGGCTAATGCAGCAGCAAACACCCCTTCTACCCTTGAAGGCAGAGACAGTAGCTTCTCCCCAGCCCCAGAAGGAACTAGCACAGACACAGATCTCTGCTGACAAGACAAAAAAGCCAACACCAAATCCCTTACTAGCCCAGGTCAAGAGAGGCAATTGACATCACCACCACAATAGAGAGACCACTGCAGTCAACTGCATCCAGCTCTGGCTTAGCAAAGGGTTGTCAGATGAGATTCTTTTCACAGTCCAAGAAGGGCAGTTCCCTTCCTGAGCCAATGAAACAAGGGAAAAAAAAAAAAAGAAAAAAAAGGAAAGAGGCTTTATATTCCAAGCTCCAACAGGACTATTTGCTGAATCAGTCCAGCAAACACAGATTATACTCCTGGAATAGTGAGTAGAAGCCTCCTCCAGGTAAAATCTACAACCTCTAAAGTGCTCCTGCTCATTCTAGTTGATGAACACCCCCTTCCATGCCCAGCAGTGGAAGGGCTGCTGCAGTCAGTGGTGTGACGAGCACTCACATTTAACCGTTCACTAACTCCCAGTTGGATTGCGGTAGAGTTTTCTGAAATGCACTTTTGGGAAGTATTTCCTATGAGAAGATGTTGTTTGGGGATGTGAGGATAGGAAGGTGAAGTGTACACTACAGCATACCTTGTTCAGTAAAACCATTGCCTTGGGAGGTGATGTTCCCTTGCAGAGTCAATGGAATAAAGCATCCTGCAAGTGGCCATGTCACCATGTCCCCAACAAGCAGCTCTCGGTTTGGTTAGAATGGTTTCCCCCACCCCCAGTGGTTTGAAGAGTTCACAGTGGTATAACCCAATGCTTTGGGGAGACAGAAACTGAGAAGTCCCCTGCTGCAAGTGAATGGGTGGAATGAGGGATGCAGATGAGCAACATCCTCTGGGACTAGCCCAAGGATAAGTCCCACAGACAGCTTGTGTCTGAGCAGGAACAGGGGGAAGGCATGCACTGGAACGACCAGGAAGCAGAGAAGGACAATGCCAATGCAGGGAAAGTGCATGTTCTGGAGTGGTCTCGGAGTACTTCTGCAGTGCAAACATACGGGGAGGGGCATGGAGAAATCCCTTCTGGAATGCTGCATGAAGAGAGGTAAAGGTTGGCATCCATGTGGCAGCGGACTGGGTAGGGGGCCTGTGTCCAGCAGCTCTACCCTGTTCTTCACATTTAGTGGGTTTCAATCACCACTGGCTCGTAAACTCCAGATGAGACCCTGGGGAGGCAGAGGGGGAGAGGGGCTGGTTATTTTTCACAGTCATTTTAGCAACCAAGCTCTGATTCAGAGCTCTCCACTCAAACATCTTCTAAGCCCACTCAGCACTTCCAGTAATTAGCTAGCCTTGCAGGAAGTCAGTCCTTGGAATACTGAGGGGACAAAGAGGTGGCAAGTCAGCAAGAGAGCACAGGAGAGAGCTGGGTGTGACACAACAAAGGGGGAGTATCCTATCCAGAACAAAGCCAGTGTGCAGAGCTTTGCTGTGCTCCCAGTTTTGATACATTTTTGCATTACCATTACTGGTCCTTTTAATTGAACTGAACGATGCAGCAAAGCCTCAAACACAACTGGCCAAGAGCTGTACTAAGAGCTACAGTGGTAAGAAAAAGTTTTATTGCTTCAGAAGGCTTGAGAGAACAAGCCCTCGATGATTATGGAAGTGGCAGGGAGAAGGGACAGCAAGAGGCGGCAGGGAGAAGGGACATTTTTGATATTTTGGACTGCTCTGGTGCAGCTTTGCTGCAGGCCAGCAGGAGGCAAAGCTCCCTCCTTCTGGAACGAACGGGAACCAGCCTCTACCATTTTGTCCTTTAATTCCTCACTTCTGAAGGATTCTGTTCCTGGATCTAGCAACCAGGATCCCATTATCCCTCTGAGCTCCTGCTGAGCACGGCATTCATACTCTAGTGCAACTGCAGCCTGCCACCAAAGGGATCCCAGGGTTGTTAATGTGGGAATAAAGCCACCATATGTAGCACATGATGTCTCCTGTAGCAAAAAGTGGAAGTTTTCTAGGTACAGAGCCCACTCATCTCTCTGGAGCCCCTCTGTCTGCCAGCCTTTTGGGAAACCTACCTGTTTCCCAGCTGAATACCGCTCAGCGTGGTTGTTCCGTCTCTGCTCACAAACAACCTCAGGTTACTGTCTGCAGATAGAAGAGGAAGACAGACATCAAAATCCAGAACTACTGAGGCTGCCAGGAACTCCCCTCCCAGACACACCATCAGCATAGAACAAGTGTGTCTCAGCAGAGCACATCCACACTTTCTGGTGGTGTTCCCACAGTCATTGAGCCCCTGGGAACTCCTTCCCTTGCTCCAAAGGGGAGCCTCCACAACATGCAGCTTTGGACGAATAAAGGCAGAGATATTAATTCAGTCATACTGCCTCTTTTAAGGCAATTCCTCTTTTATCCAATTCCAAGTTCTTGGTCAGCTTATACACATCTGAACAGATAAGATGTGGGGTCTCACACTGCTTTGGTAGAGTCACTGGAGGAGAAACTCAGCCTGTTCTGCTGGTGATAAGCAGCTGCATCCAGTCTAGTTCTAACCCACACTGAGTGAGGTATAACTCCCCACAGGGTAAGTGTGCTTCCATGTGCAACAATTTAAGGTGACTAATGGTGAATTAATGAAGCACAGATAACAAGCTAGGCTCAAGTTTAAAACTTAACAGAAAACCTCAGATAAAAAAAAAAATCAGATTAAAGGTTAATTTATATGCTAAACTGGAAAATGAAACTGAAAACAAAAGCAGTTACATGTGACTGCAATGGAGGAAACCCCTTCTTAAGCTCTCCGACAGACCTGATCACCAGCACATGGTAACCCATGTTTCTGTGGAGATGTGCTGCTTCCCCTCCAGTTGTGCTCTCCTCGTTTGATAAATACCCTTGGCCTGACCCTGGATGAAGGCCACTAGAGCAGTGCAGACAGCTGATGCAACTGATCTCCACTGTGCTGAGAATCAGTATTTTTCCTCTCTCTCCCTGCATGTTTGAGCTACTATTCAATCTCTGCTGTCATGTGTGGAGCAGCAGCAAGTGCTATCTTGTACATACATGTGCAGCTCACAAACTCACGTGGTTTATCAACCACAGAAACACCCAGCAAGCACTGAAAGCAAATAGCTGTCAAAAGGAGAAGGGAGCCCATGGCAGATCAGATCTGACTGTAAACGCTTGGCAGCCTTGCAAGAGGAACAACCCAGACATCCCCTCTGAGGCTTCTCCTCTCACCTTCAGTATTGCTGACATCTGTGAAGTCCTGACTCTGCATTATTTTCTCCACTATATCATCAGCATCGATCCTGGTGTCATCCACTCGGGTTGGGTGACTCTCCATTGAATCCTTTTTTCTCCTGGCAAGAGGAAATCCAGGAAAAACTTACTCAGCTTTTCAAGACACAGGCTTCTACATACTGTCCTGCTTTTCTTGGCCACAGTCTCCTCCGCAGTGGCCACGATCTGATCCACTGCTGCCTGAAGACAAAGGAGCAGGTTCTATCTCTCCTTCCCAGAGAAAGGTCTTTGCTCCACTGTTACTCACCGGGAGGGTCTGTCCAGCAGGAGGGGCGGTCTGGGGGGCCGAGGTGGCTTCTCCAGTTTGTGTTCCCTCTCCCCCTCAGGATACTCCACGGTCATGCTGAGCCCCCCCGAGGCGCTGCTGCTGGTGGACGTGTTCCGGCGGTGGGTCAGGTCGGACATGCTGGAGGAGCGGGAGTGCTCCGTGCTGTAACCTGCCAACACAAGGATCACAAACCTCAGCTGCTGCTGCTCCCACTCCTGGCAGCACAGGTAACGGGCAGGGAGCTTCACAGCAGCACTTCTGCTCCTGCACACAGAGGGTTAAACATCTATGGGCTCATCTGCAGGGACTGAACAGGAGGCTGGTATTACAGAGCAGGGTGAGAGATGGCTGAAAATCACTCTCACAGGGGTTGCAGGAAGGAAAAGGATGGCAGAGCTGTGTGGATCAGTGGTTACCAGAGATCTTGGACTGCTGGCTGGCATAGCTTGAGTTCCGCGAGTGCCCCGAGTGGAAAACTTCCTCTGGGCTGGACAGGTTCTGATCTGACTCTTCTGGGACACCTGCCAAGGAAAAGAGGACACTGTTTACACCATAACCAAGCCAGCACATGGTGCACTGATCAGCTGGGAGTGAAGACTGATCTTGGAATGACAGATCAAGGAAAGGACAGTCTACTGGCCAGAGCCCTGCTGTACAGGCCAGCACAGGGATTAGAAACACCCAGGGAGTAGAAAAGACCACAGTGAGCTCTGTCAAGTTTATCACTATTTCTATCCAGCACGTGAACTTACAAACATCTCTGGGGCCTGGTAGCATCTAGGAGGACAAGTAGAGTCTGAAACTATCCATAGGTAAAAGCATCAAACTAAGACCAAGTAAGCATCAGATGGCCATTGGCAGTAAAGTATTTCAGCCTCTGTTTGGGTGCTTCTGTTACCATCTTACCCTTCCTATTACTTGTGAGAGAGCCTGTACCACTTAAATAATCTCTGAATTTGATACCCACCCTTCAGCATAACCCCTGCTCCTTTGCTAGTCCTGCTTGTCTCTCTGGATAAGCAGGAAGCTTATCCAGAAGTGCATAAATGGCATAAACGTAGCACATTAACCAGCTTTTTAAGAACATCACTTGCACCACGTGCTCTGTCAACTGAGGGGATGAGACTCAAGTGCTATTTTGGTGCAGTGTATCTGCCTGCACATTTGGAATATGCTGGGAAGGACAAAAACTGATGTGAAAATGCAGTGCCCTTGAAAACAGGTTTATACAGCAGCCAAAGAACTGCATCAGCAGCTGGAACAAGGCCACTAGACCTTAAACCAACCTCTAAAACCTTCAGAGGAACTTCTCTAGAAGATAAGTCGGAGCAACAGAATAGCTGAGTGCAGAACAATGGCAAGTGTCATTGAACACAATGGAAAGCAGGGATGAGCAGTGCATGAATTATTAAATCCCCAGCAAAAAGAACAAATTATCTCCAGTAACAGTAATATGCATGTGGCAAGTAGTCAACCTTCCTCTTCCCACTTAGATGGTTTGGTTATTCTCAATATTCTGAATGAGCCATGGGGTTGAGGATGGGTGTGGGAAAATATGCAAAATTAAAGTTTCTGTGCTTGCAACTGCTGGGAAAAACAAAGGAGTGTCCAGGCACAGCCACACATTGCATGGCTCCAGGCTGGGCATTCAGACCTGAGCTGAGAATGGCAGTTCTTGGCTTGGCCTGGCGCAGGGAGCCAATTGTGGAGGAGCTGCTGCTGCTGGTGGTTCCTTCGCCCTTGCAGGTCAGCTGCAGAGTAGAGTCCTGCCCCGGGATGGTGATGGATTTGGCAGTGGAAGGAGGCCTGGAATCAGAAGGGAAGGAGGTTACAGACTGCCAGGCAGGGAGCAGGCATCATTCTGTCCATCCCACCCTTCTCAGCAGGGGGAAGCTGGCAGCCCTCTGACCAGCAGCTCAAACGGGATGTTGGGTTTTGTTTTCCTACATGCAAGACTGGTGTCTTCCCTACCTTGGATTGCATTACAAGAAAAATCAAGTTTTTGAGGTAAATTAAGGCAAAAAGAGGCCATTCATTCATTTACACAGGACAACAAGCTGAGAACTTGCACTGTCTTCCAG